CTGTTGTGGTCTTGGTCTGGAAGGTTCAGGATCAGCTTCACGACGAAGTCTCTGTAATACGAAAATAAAATATTATTGGATGTTTTCTTCTAATATAGAAAACTTATATTCGAATACATTTCTTATTATATATAATTAGTTATATTTTTACCGGGTGAGGAGGACGTGGAGGAACTGGTTGTGGTTTTGGTCTGGAAGGTTCAGGATCAGCTTCACGACGAAGTCGCTAAAAAAATATGAATATTAAAATAATATTTATGTTACTGAATAACTTTGTATGAATTTATATGTAACTGTTTTTTATTTTTATCACCTCAGATTTATTTTCTTGATAGCCGAGGAATTCTGGATTTTGAAGATTTAGAAGATGACCATCAGTTTCTTTTGCGATTGCATACTATAACATATAAAGAAGTAGATAGCTAGATAAGAAGCAATCAGATATTTCAATTATCTCTTATCCATATATATAATTTTTTGAATCTATCAAATATTTAATGTAAATGATAATTTTTTATATACTTACCGGGTTTACGTGCGATTCAAACGGTTCTCCAGTTACTACGATAACAAGCATAGCAGCGAGAGCTGCTCTTATCGCTAAACTTCTCATATTTCTCGTTTCTAGAAGAATAACGTCAATATTGATTATTATATATTTATTTCGATGACTTAGTGATTTACTTATCTTTTAATGAAATGCAGATCGGAAAATGTTAAAAATATTGATAATTAATTTGCAACTGTAGTTATGTATCATTTAAGAATTTTTATTAAAGATTATTTTACATATATTAAAATAACAACTTATTGAATATTTTTATTATGTATTATGCCATTGGAAAGGCAAAATTTTTACTTACTTATTGTTGCAGTCTAGATGAGAGCTAGCGTTGAATTGATTTCTATGAAACTTATGGCGTTGTTTTTATACTTATTGCTACCTTCGATACTTTCACATAACAGACACGCATTAACATGTATCACGAGTACCGGGGAACTACCGATAGTTAGTTATCATATACATTTTTCTCTCTTTGGAATAATAAATTACTATGACATAAAATCGTAATTCCAAGAAAGCAAAGATCAACAAGCTATCTTTTCCCTGTAAACATAAAAATCTCTATATTTATTTCACGTAAGGAATCCCAGACCTACAAATATTTTTATTGCTATTAAAGTTTCTTAAGATATCCTCATTATTTTTATTATACATGATATGTCAATACTGCGTCTTTGATTTAAAATCGTTTTTCAAATATCATTAATTGAGAAAAATTACATTTGTTATTTTACATGTTCTCTAGGTGTGATATCACTGTTACGACGTTGGTGTGTTCACTGGGTTAATGTTTACAAATAGAACAGATAGATTCGAGTGGATAGATTAAATTTTGTAAACAGAGATATTAATCAATTTCACACATAGAATAGATATCCAAAATTAAATTTCTATTTACGAAAAATTTTAATCCATGTTTTGATTTGCTTCTTTTTATTTTGTTTTAGAACTATTATCTAGAATAATTATCTTCAAGATTGTGATCACAAATTATCTATAATGTTATACATTTAAATGAAATTGTTGGAATTAGAAAAGATATTATCAGAAGTAATAGAAGAATATTTGTTGAAAAATATTGATTACTAATTAATTATAATAAAGCTATTACATGGAATAATTATAAATGTGTGTGAATGAAAGAAGAATGTTGAAAACTTATTGAATGTATTACGCAATACATATTACATATTCTTTTTATATACTTTTTCGATTATATTTCAGTTATGATTAACATACATGAAAGAAACAATGATCAAGCATCAAGTAGTGCAGAAAATAAATCGATCGAGTTTTAGGGGAATTCCCTATTTAATCAGGGATCATGGGTGATAGAATTCCCAGATATGATTAGACAGTAATATTATCTTAATGATATTGTTTGTTAAATAAGACTACGCATTTCGGTTATTGGTTATGAAAGAAAAACAACAATTATAGCAAGTTCAAATTGATATATATTTTTTTATATAGCTGTTATGCTATTAAGTATTCAAATATTTATAAATATTCATTTGAATTGCTCACTGTGAGCTTGATTAAGATTCACTTGTTGAAGGTGCTGGTGGAGCTTCGGAAGACGAAGGGGGTAGTGGAGCTTCGGAAGACGAAGGTGGTGGTGGAGCTTCGGAAGAAGAAGGTGGTGGTGGAGGAGGAGGTGGTGGTGGACGACAACCTGGAGGTGGACGACAGCCTGGAGGTGGACGACAGCCTGGAGGTGGACGATGTGGACGACCTCCTGGAGGTGGACGAGGTGGACGACAGCCTGGTGGTGGACGACAGCCTGGTGGTGGACGACAGCCTGGTGGTGGACGAGGTGGACGACCGCCTGGACGTCGGTGTGGAGGTCTTCTTCGGTTATAGTCATCAGATTCTTCTACGTCAAATTCATTTGACTCAAATTGTTCCGATTCGAATTGTTCTGATTCCAATTCATTATATACGTTTTCGAGTTCAACAGGTTCCTAAAAAATGAATTAATATGATTATTACTAATCTACAGAGGAAAAAATATAACACATAATTTAAAAAAAACTATTAGTTCGTTAAAATCAATTAGAAAATGAAGACAATTTTTACTTGTATCTTGGCATTAGCGGTAAGAACAAATTTGTTTATAGAATAACGAAAAATGATTTAGATGATTGGTAAAATAAATAATTTTATTTTTTATTTTAATTTTAAATATATATCCATAAATATTTTCCTTACCTCTTCTGGACGACCGCCATTTGGTGGACGCTTACCAGATGGAGGTGGACGAGGTGGACGACCGCCTGGGGGTGGGCGNGTGGACGTTTACCTGGAGGTGGTGGTGGTGGACGTCTACCTGGAGGTGGTGGTGGACGTCTACCTGGACGTCGGTGTGGAGGTCTTCGGTTATAGTCATCAGATTCTTCTACGTCAAATTCATTTAACTCAAATTGTTCCGATTCGAATTGTTCTGATTCCAATTCATTATATACGTTTTCGAGATCAACAGGTTCCTAAAAAATGAATTAATGTGATTATCACTAATCTACAGAGGAAAAAATATAACACATAATTTAAAAAAAACTATTAGTTCGTTAAAATCAATTAGAAAATGAAAACAATTTTTACTTGTATCTTGGCATAAGTGGTAAGAAAAAATTTGTTTACAGAATGACGAAAAATGATTTAGATGATTGGTAAAATAAATGATTTTATTTTTTATTTTAATTTTAAATATATATTCATAAATATTTTCCTTACCTCTTCTGGACGACCGCCATTTGGTGGACGCTTGTCAGATGGAGGTGGACGAGGTGGACGTTCGCCGGGAGGTGGTCGTGGTGGACGTTTATCTGGTGGTGGAGGTCTTGGGCGTTCACCAGGGGGTGGTCGTGGGCGCTCGCCAGGAGGTGGTCGTGGGCGCTCGCCAGGAGGTGGTCGTGGTGGTCGACGTCCATCAGAAGGTGGTCGTCGATAATCTTCAAGTTCCTCTACGTTGGATTGTTCTAATTCGAAGACGGGCACATCTTTAAGACCGAGAAGATGCTGGAAAGGATTTGTTTTTAGAATATCAATAAAAGATTTTGTATTTTTTTTTTGTTTAGTTAAATTTGTAGTTTATGTTTATTAAAATATAATAAAATTTTTTTTCTTTACCTTTTCGTAGTCTCCTAGATCTTCAACATCTACTTCTAATACTGCCGATTGTACCGCAATACATAGTATTGCTAATAGTAAGGAAATAATAAACTTCTTCATTGTTAATCAATCTTGAGAAGTCAGTAAAACTGAAAAATATTGTAAAATGGACATGTTAATTTAAAAGCATATGTAAACAATTTATATAATATATGATGATAAACAATTAACAAGCTTAGTAGAAAAATATAATTTATTAATACACAGATAAATTTTTTTCGATGTTTTCAAACATTTTTTTTTTTTTGTATACAAATATTATTAATTATATAGATTTTTAAAGCGTTATATACAAATTAATTTACAATATATAAATATAATTTGATTAATAGTAAAAAGGCCAGAGAAAGATTATGGCTATATTGCAGGTATGTATAACTTATTCTTACCTGAACTTCTCTTCGATGATTCTGATGTAAAATCTCTAATTTCTTCTCTATATATACCAGTACCACATTTTAATTCAAGCATTTATCTTTATTTTATCGTTCTATTTTTATATTTTGATATTATCTATGCTTCGATATAATAACTTGTTTTATATTAATCTATCAATGCGATTAAATAAGCCTTAGGTGGTCCGTAATTAAATAATTAATTGTAATTTATAGAATATATAAATTAAGTATAAAGATATTCGAGTTTTTTTTAAACAAACTATTTCTCTTTTTTAGTATTATTTTTTAATATAATTGAGTCGTTTATTTTAATAGTAATCCAAATTTATTTTTTATTTTTTCTACGAAATATTTTTTATGACAGTTAACTTCCAATTATTACAATCAACAACAACAAAATATTAAAATAAACTTAGACCACTTTCAAAATAAACGGCTAAATTATACCAACTGTATTTTTATAACAGGAGAATAAATCTTATTAAATCAAGCCATTTAACAATTTTTTATATGTTCAAATTGTTGTCAATTGATACAATATTTAAAATAAATATATTACGTCTAATAAATAATTTAAATAATTTTTTTAAAAATCTATCAATAATAATTAAGTGAAGAAATTAGTAATTTTTATCGTTATACTATCTGTATAAATTATCAATTATCTGTGATTAAGATCTGTGAATTATTAATTAAAATATAGATTAGTTATAAAATCATGATCTGTTCATGTAGTATTTTGTGAATACCAAATCTTATCTATTGTTAAGAGAAAAGTATAATTTGCAATATACGTCAATGTTATATCATTTCTTACTTAACAAATATTTAGTTTTATAATAATACAAATAATGTTTTTCACTAATGTGCCTAAACCAATACCATGAATTTTTGATTTTTATTCATAATTTTGTATCTATAACTGTACACGTGCTAGATTTAGAAATCAAATAATATACATAAATGACAATTTATTAAATAGTTTATTAGAAATTTTTTGGTATTAACTTAAATTTCTTCCTTTTTTTCTTCTTCGGTTTTAATTCTTCCTATTTAATTAGCTGCAGGTTGATTTGATAATTCGAGGGCTCGTTTTTCTTCCGAAAGTAAAGTTATTTTTTCGTCATATTTAATACGTAAATCTTTAAAAAGATTTAATTGTGTCTCATATTCTTTCTTTAAATCAGAATTTAATCGTACTGCATCATCCATTCTGGACATCATTGAATTATGCTTTTCACGTTCTTCTGCAATTCGTGCTTCCATATTGTCAACCTCTGCCTATAAAATACAATTAATTAAAATCAGACTTAGTTCTTATTTTAATTCATATAACAATTGAATATAAAACATACCTGTAAATGTTTAACTTCCTTATTACGAATTTGTAAAAGATCTCTTGTAATAGCTACTACTTCCTTCAACGTTGATACTTGTATGTTAAGAGCATTGATTTGTTTTTCTTGATTAGCCATAATAACTCCACGATCTTCTAATTGCATTATTGTCTCTGTTAATTTATTTTTTAATTCAGTCAGTGTTACATGTGATACATTTTCTTCATTGTTATCAACATTTTTAATAGTGTTAGCAACGGATGTTTCAAGATCAGTCAATTTTTGTTCAACTTCTATTAATTTTTTTTGATACATATCTCGTTCTTTGATTCTTTCCTAAAAATAATATGGTATATTTATTATTAAATTAACTTTATAAATTTATCATATTTCTGATAGATATACATTAATACTGTTTTTGAAAAATAGTGGCAAATTACCTTTACTTCTTCTTCTAATTTGCTTATCAACGCATTCCCATTTTCGCTTACCTGTGTATATAATAATTATAAAATAATAATTATATAATAACAACTAGTCAATAGTATTAGTGTAATTTTTTTACCTTGTAGGATTCATCCTTAACAGTAACCGTATCTGACATTGATTTTAATAAGAGATCATTTTTAGAAATGTTTGAAGCATCAGATATTGTATTTTCATTTTCTATTTTTAACTCTTCATTCTAATAAATAATGAATATGTAAAATTAAATATTTTTTTATAATCAAGATAGTTTCACAATGTTTTTCTATTATTATACTGCATTTACCAATTTTGGTATATCCTCTTGTATTTTGACAGCATCCTTGTCAATAATATGTAAAATTTCATTTTCTACTTCTTCTAAAGGAGAAATTATCTTTGATTGATCCTTTTCATTATTGTTTATTGTATTATCTACAGATACACTTTCAACTGAAGAATATTCTTGAATTTCAGACATTTTCTGTAAAACAATTATTTCTATTATCTTTATTGGAAACTACAAACATTAGTGTAACCCGAGAGTTTTAGAATCACTATGGAAACAATTAAAAAGAAGAATATTTTGTTTGGTATAAAATTATTGCAAATCATATATATATATTTTATAACATTTCATTAAAGTATAGTATTTATTATTAATTTCGATGCAGAGATAAAAATAAGATTATTATAATATTTTTAATAAGTATATGAATATATATATATATATATAACTTGATATCATATTATATAAAAAAACGTATAGATATAATAAAAAGATCTATTGGTATAAATATTGTATAAATAATATATAAGAAAATAATATTAACATTTTAAAATGAAGTTTTACTACAATACATACTCAATTATCATTCCAAAGTACTGGATATCAAGGACTAGCTAGAAATACGATGTATTTTTGGATATTACCCGCTATTTCTATTTTAAACTTAAAAGAGTGATTGACCATGCGTATTTCACATTTTGGTTCGATAAAATAAGAATGAGAGAAAGAGAGAGAGAGAGAGAGAGAGAAAAATGTTTAAAATAAATTTTAATTAATTTATATTTCTTCTTTTAAAATTAAATATTAAATTTCGAAATTAAAAATTGTATTTTTGATTTATCCACTAAAGCTAAGATAATTTTAAATAAATCTTTATATAATAGTTTGAAATTATAATTATAAAAAAGATTCCAAAAAATTTGTTATTTGTTCGTAAATAATTATAAAGAATGGTTTTTTGTTTAAGTGTAACAATTTTTTAAATTAAATTTCGCTTACTTTCATTCTCTCTCTCTCTCTATTGGATAAAATTATTTTTTGTCGTGTGCAAAATTTGTGTTTAATTTGCAGTTCATGATTTTAGATTATCCATGACGACACCGTGTACGTGAATTTCATAATAGTGTCTATATTTTTTGGTGATTAATACAGATTAGTGCGTATAAAGAAGGAATTACACTGAGAAAAATATTCAGTAAGCATTACAAAAAATTATTATATATTTTTTTAGAAAAGATATTGCACGTATCATTGATTTTAAACATTATTAAACGTAAAATGATGCTAAGTGTCGCGTACATAACCTAACTTTTAATTCACGCTTCCTCTCGTAACTTGATGCACGTTGTTTTATGTGTTTATATTTATAATTTTGGTCTATATAATAAATTATATGTAACGCTATACTAAATATAGAACAAAATGTTCTCGAATATTCACTTCTAAAATTTTTATTTTGTTTTGTCTAGTATTGGAAGGATATAAATTTAATAATATAAAATTCAATTTTTCAGAGGTTAGTACAGTTTAATTTAAGTTGATTTATATACATTATTTTCATGTTAAATAATTGTTATCAATATAATTAATTATAAATTATTTTAATAAAATTTATGTATAAAGTGTTTGTTCTATAACACAGATCGATGATAGTTTGGTAGTATTTTATAATAAAATTATGAATCAAAATTCTATAAATATAAAGTATAATACACAATTTTATAATTACGTGCATTAAATTTATATACGTATATATATATATACGTATACATAAAGTTGCAAATTATGGTATTAACATTATTTTTATTTTGTAGATAATTAAATAATGGAAGAATATGCGAGAGAGCCGTGTCCTTGGAGAATAATAGATGATTGTGGTGGTGCATTTACTATGGGTGCAATTGGAGGAGTTGTTTTTCAAAGTGTAAAGGGTTTTCGTAATGCACCCAGTGGTTTTAACAGACGTTTAACAGGCAGTTTTATGGCTGTAAAACAACGTGCTCCAATATTAGCAGGAAGTTTTGCTGTATGGGGCGGAGTATTTTCTATGGTTGATTGCACATTAGTTCATTATAGAAAAAAGGAAGATCCATGGAATTCTATAGCTAGTGGTGCGGTAACGGGTGGAATTTTAGCCGCTAGAAATGGACTGCCTACTATGGCTGGCAGTGCTATAATCGGAGGATTGTTACTTGCTTTGATTGAAGGTTTGGGAATATGTTTCACACGGATGCAAGCAGAGCAATTTAAACCACAATCGTTGGTAGATGATTCTTCGCATGTTGGTCCAATACCGCAAGGATATCCTTCATAATAGAAAGGAATATGCTAAATTTATAAAAACTTAGCACGACATTATAATACCAATGTTTAGTTATTATCGAAATAGAAAAGTATTGATTTGTTCTTTATCTTTTGTCAGTTTGAATTTGTATAAAATATACATCGAAGGTTTAAGAATTATTTCAATTAATCTTTCAATTATACTTTTTATGCAATCAAAAAGACTATTGCAATGTGTACATGGAAGTATGAAATGTAAATTTTTTTTCTGTTATTAGTGATTAGCTAATGATCCAAAATATATTGAAGTAGTAATTTCTATAGGTTTTATTCTTATGCTTTCTAATTGTTAATATACATATTAAGACAACTTGTGTTGCTTAAGAATAATTAAAGCATAAATTATAAAACAATTCAGGGGTTTTTTATCCATGTATGTACAAATAACTATGTACAAATTTAATTGTTGTATGTTAATTTTATTTAATCTAAGTACGTACAAAAATATTTTACAGTTTGCTTATTACATTCATTAGTTATTTATTTCCTTTTTAAACATATGATTAAACTCATAAAATGCATTCCTGCTATTATCGTCTTCACTTTCTTCTTCATTTAAATCTATCAACATTGGTACTGATAAATCTAACATTTTTTCATTTGAAACTTGGTTGTTACTTGTTTGCAAAGATGATTCTTCCTTTGTATCTTTAAGAACTTTTTTAGGATTATTTTTTGCATTTATAAGACCAATTATGTTTAATTGTTCAACCTGCAACATTGAAAAATTCAAATTATTGAGTTGGCAATTAAGTGATTGCTAATTTTAAAATGCTATCTATCGACAAAATCAATAAAATCCGCAATCACTTAGTTGTCAACCAAATAAAAATAATTAATTCATGGAATAGTTTATTTTAAGTTGACATTGTTATAAATGAATTTTATTATTCTTCGTTATTGCGGTATAATTTTTACCTGAAGTGCATCTATTTGTTGGTCAAGTTTAGATAATATATTTTTGAGAATACTCCTTTCTTTATCAACTTGTGCTCTAAATTTTTTATACTCTCTTAATTTACTCATTTTTTGTTTCAAATTGCACGTTAGTATTCACAATAATAACTTTTTAATGAACTAAATTAATCATAATAATATAATCATATAAGAGATATAAATACCAACGTTCCTGTAAGAGGTTAGAATATTATATTTATTTTTCACAGCTGATTAGATGGCGTTAGTATTGTTGTATCGTATCACGTGGACCAATAGTAGATAACTGTGAAGAAGTAACGGCAGTGATAGGTTAGAACTCAGTAACCAATCAACTTTGACTTATTCTATGAGAACGAGTTGCTATATGTTGTTTAAATAATCAGTGATCCCATTCGTACGATAATTATCGTACGCGTCACATAATTTGAAGCCTTGTACGATCCAAAAATTAGCCTGTACGATAATTTTCGATTTTTCGATAATTTTTACGGCCCTGTGTCGATCAGACGAACTAAAGTCACTGGGATCACTGTGTTTAATTGTCTTCATATTGTATACCGTTTTAACATTCTGAAACTGATTAAGATAAGAAATTATATATATTTTAAATGTATTACACTTTTATATATGGGGTCATGAATAATTTGCTGAAAAGAAGATAAGTATAAATATTTGATTAAAATATCAACATAGATATTTAAGTAAGAAAAGTTTCCTTTTTTTTTTTTTTTCAAGAATAAATGCAAAACAAAAAGAAATATACACATATATATATATATTATATGTATTTAATAAATACGATTTGCGTGAGCTTGCGTTACGATTTAATACAATAATACTTTATTTCTTTCTACATAGCTCTAAGAGACATTACAGATTACTCACAATTTTATTATTATTAACAGTAGGAATCTTTTAGGTACCAGAGCTCTATCGTCTTAATCACAATAATTTATTTTTTTTTTTTAAATATAGCGACGCAATAAGATATTAATACAAGAAGGAGTGAATGAGAATTTGTGGTTTTTTTTTCTTCAGTTTGTTATAATTTAAATGTTATTTTATTTTTGTCATTTACGATGATACGGTAACAAGTTGCTATAAATACAATAAAGGGAAAATTTATTTCCATACGATGCATATATCTATCCATAATTGTTGTTTTTTTTGCTTTTTTAAAATTAATCCTTTGTTTTCATAAATATTTAATGACTATATAACGCAGAACATTGGAATAATAAAAGAAAAAAAAAAAAAAAATCAAGTCACCGGTTTTTACAAATACAATATGTGCGTATTTGAAAATTTTTAATGCAGATTTATATATCACAAAGCTTCTTAACATGTTGACTGCTACGTACTTTTCACATTAATTTTTTATTATTAGATGCATATTTTGCTGAAATTTTTTTTACAGCTGATAAAAGGAGTTATATAATTGTGTTTAATGCATTTATAATGCATTATTTATGGTGTGGTCACCGGTAACCTCCAAGGCCGCTGTAGATCATTGTCGTGATTATCAGTTGTTTCAAATTGTTTAAAAATGGTAACAGGTTATAATTTATAGAAATTCATAGTTGACTTGTCTGTTTAGTTATAGTTGATCAAATGACTGTTTATAGTTCACTAGTGTAAAAAAAAAACTAAAATATTACAGGAAATTGGCATAGAGCTTTTACTGATTACGTGTGTTGTAAATTAAATGGTCTTATACAAATAAAAGTAACTAGAAAATATTTTAATTCCCGATTTTAGGATGAAGTTAATGATGTATTTAATGAAATGTTCTGATGATGAAGATTGCATTTTATCAAGCAATTATCTACAGAAATAACGTCGTTACATGTCATGTGTATATTTTTCTTATAATTATAAAATTATTTGTGCATGTTCAATATGTCATTATTTTCTTTAAACCCTTATAAAAACAATGGTATTATCTATACATTTATCAGTATTTATATTTACTCTAATTATGTATTTTTACTATTGGTCGTGTCGAGGTTACCGGTGACCCACACGGCAGTCAACCTGTTAAACTTTTCCATTTGGCGACTCTTCTTCATCCAAGTAAATATTTTTGCCAGTTACGCGATCCACACTTTGAGAAGCCCTGGTATAACACATTCGTTTTTTTTTTTTTAATTTTACAATTAGAATGATGATAAATAAGTACATTATTTTTTATAACACAAAAGTGAAGCTGGATAAGTTTGTTGATATTTGAAAAGTTTCGAAAATAAAAGTGATTTTAATTGAAAATACAAATTATTCTTATCCGAGATTTCAAAACTTTTCAATCTCATTCTCGTATATATCGTATCGTTGATTTTCGTTTATTATTTTTTTGTTCTTTTATTCGTCGGCGAATGTTTCTAATTTTCTTCAAGTGATATAGATTAATATTTTCTTCGTCATTTCCTTTTTCGATACATCAAGCTTGCGCGCGCTCGCGTACGCAAAATTCTATTTACATATAAATACACAAATAATATTTTTAATTTCTAGACTAAATTAATCGCGTTATCGTGGTATCACAATAACATATATAGATATAGTTTATTTTTATAATAATAATAATAATAATAATAATAATAATAATAATAATTATAATTATAATTTTACGTGTAAGGACATAATACTTCGGGAAATATGGCACTTCATTATGAAGAAACCTTTTTCATTAAGGGTTTATAATTAACGAGTCATCCTATACATTTTGATGTTACACGTTACATGTATATATATATATGCTTATCATATATTTATATTTATGTATTTTGTTAATTGTTTCGCGATATTTCATTTAATTATTTTGTATATCGTGTATATTCTTCTGTGTGCAAATTATTTTTTTGTTATATACGTTAAGCTAACGTATTGTGTATATGTTTGTCTGTTGTGTATCTATGTATATATATATTTTTTTATATAGTATTAGTTATTTTGGTATAATCGTATTTATTTTAAATCATTTACAAATGTACATATATCGGTTTTAAGTCAGAGAATTAGAAAAAGTAAATTTTTGTTTAGTCTAAATCAAGACATGAATTATTTAAATTAATATCATTACAGGAATTAATCGATTTGTTTTTCGTTAATTGTATTTTTGCATTTTTTCTTAGATTTGTGATTTTACATTGGTAGTAGAATTATTTAATTTAAAGGTAATGCGTTACTTTAAAACGTATTATTTTCTTTCGTTTTAATCTCACGAAATTTCAATTAAAAATATCCTTACTAAAGATCATTGAATAAGATAATTTACAATGGTAACGCTGTAGCACGAAGCAATAAGAGCTCGCTCGTATATCCTGTGTAATAATTTACATAACAATTAATCATAAATATTCCCTGGGATTAAGACGAATGTTCACACTTGTGCTATCTAACTAACAAACTCTGAGAACTCTTGTATCTCGAGTTTAATATCAATTATAGAAAAAAAAAAAATAAAAAATAAAAAAACCAGTGTATAACATGTGTTATATTTGACAAATGTCATAGTTTAAATAATATCATTATGAATGAAGTTGGTGAACGAAATAATATTTGACTTAAGAGAAAGTATTAGTTTGTTTGTCTCATTGGCTAGATATATCAATTATTTGGTGTTCTCCATTTAAAGAGGGTTCATTTAAACAATCATCGTCTCTTTGTAAAACGAAAGGTCATAAATGATCGAGTTAATCTTTGATCGATATAGGTGGTGATTCTTGACTATTGTCGCTGGTGAAACTTGATAAGCTAAGTCCAGCAATATTGTCCTGATTGGTTGTTGCTTGGTGATTGCTAGTCGGTGAATTGCTGCTACTCCTCGTACCAGTTAGTTGACTGACGTTTCCACCATCAGCTGGTATAAGACCCTCCTTCATTCTCTTCTTCTGCTTCATTCGTCTATTCTGAAACCAGATTTTCACTTGCGTCTCGTTTAGTTGAAGGGCCGAGGCTATTTCGATGCGTCTCGCGCGTGTCAAGTACTTGTTAAAATGGAATTCCTTTTCCAATTCGGTTAGTTGTTTGTTAGTGAAATTCGTACGACCGGTATTGTTGAAGCCACCTGTTATACCAGCTAATGGGCCTCCGGTAAGACAGTTCACGGTACCACTCGTTGAATTTCCATAAACCGACGAATTCGAACCGCCGACCGTGTTACCAATAAAATCACCAGCATTGTGAGTCGTCTTGGTGGCTGTAAACAGAACGTTTATTGTTAATTAAGTTTCAAATTTGTGATTGTTAAAACATTGGATGAACATTTTATAAATATTATCAAATATATTTTTAATCGATGTATATTAGAATTTAATTATTGGTTATGCGGATGATTACAAATTTCAAGACGTTTCATGAAATAAATTGAACTATTTTTTAATTTTATATTCTCGCGTTCTTATTACACCATTGGAAAAAAAATTAATCAATTATAATATTAAAACTAATGAGTTCTTTCCAATTGTGTAGGGGTCATTTGTTTGGATGACTTTGTATTAGCTACCGTTGAATACAAAGCGGCTTATCCTCTTACGATTAGAAAAGAGAGTAAAATATTATTGGAAAGCAATATGTGTAGTCTGAGATTAAGTTAAATCCTTTAAGTGACAGCCCTCTCATGTCCAACACAGCTGGTCAGTTCTCGGAAAGTAGTTTTTGGGGAAGATGACCTGTACAAGAAGGTGAACGGACGATAGGGTTAAGCCCTATGATTGGATCAAATTGCATCAGCTGTTATTAACAGATTACGTGAGGTTGAATGTATCGTCGTTAGATTATGTGTAGTTATTTTTTTTATACAAATAATAAATTAAATAAATATAGGATTTTTTTCAAATTTTATACTCATTTAATGATGTTTATGAATAGCTTTTCTTAATAATTAAAGACAAAATTCAAAGAAATATATTTATAAGACTATATATATATACATATTTAATTAAAGATATGATTGAATAGAATAGTAAGTGTCTATAATTTATTGGATCAATAATTAATAATCGTTAGGCTTCTTAACTATTAATTTACTAATTGTCTCTATTATTTCTTAAGTATTTCTATCCGTCTTGCTTCTTTACTACTAAATTATCGTCGTACTTCTTTCCAGGATTATTCTTTTCGCAAAAGCACTTTTTACAATTTCTCACACTTTTAGCTTCAAATTATATTCTATTGTCCTTTCGTTATGCACATTAGAAATATCTATTTAAATTTATTCTCGAAAAATTAACATACATATTCAGTAACGATTGTTTTCGAATATCCATCTCTTAACCGTTCCTTATTTTTATATTTATTTACACTTTCATTTTCAAATATTTCCTAATCCCACAAAAATAAATGAATGAACAAGAATTCGAATTATTACATAAATAAAGATATTTATTTT